GAGCGGGTGGAGGAATAAAAAAAATGTTTAAATTCATCTGAAAACATAAAAATGTATAAAAGAAGTGGAGGGAGGCAAAAAAATTATTTTTTGAATTTTTGCCAAAATATCTCAGCACTAGGGTTTCTGAAAAACGGCATTTTCGAAAACGGCCGTTTTCCGTTTTTTATTTTCAAAAACGGCCGTTAACGGGCCGTTTTAAGTTTTTTAAATAACCAAATATAAATGAAATATTCCTCAAAAGATAAAGAATTGCTGTGCTATATGGGCACGGATTGATTTTTCTAAAATATTCATCTTTGAATCGAATTTTCTCTTAATTAGAGAACTTTGCAGCTGCAATTTTTTCACAAACTTGTGTAAAACGCCGAGCTCTTTCATTCTATCTAACTTACGCATCTTGTCATGCCTTAATTAATGAAATATTTGGATTTTTGTGAGCGTTGGTATATTACACAATGTTGAATTCTGAACATGAAAGCAGAAATTTACCACTTTAAAGACATCTAGACAACTATTAATGTTGTCTTTATTGTCAACCGTTCTTTCTATCCTCTTCTATGATTCTGCATACTTAAATTGACTTGAAAGACACTCAATAGACAGAAAAATGAATAATTTTAATGCAATTAATGTAATATACCAACGCTTAAGCCAAATCCGTGAGGAAATAATTTTTAAAAAACCAATTTTTACTTTAATTAACAATAATTTCTTTGATTAGAACCTTGTTTTTAAAAGTTTAATGGTCAATGAAGATCTTTAACTCGCTTTAAAAAGTGTAAGCTTAATTAAAGTTTATTTGTGAAGCAATCAAATTTTTAAAGAACATGGATCAAAAATTTATTTGTTTCGAAATGCAACTCATCCGTGGAATTGCCCATATAGATAATATGTAGATTTCTATTTACATTTATTATAACTATTTATTCATTTTATTATAATAGAACTTAAGAAAAACAAGAGCATTTAGTGATGCATCAGCCAGCCTTGAACGAATCTTTGTGCAAAAATTATTGCAGATTGAAAATATTCGCTCTACATCTGTAGATGTAGGCTTAATACACAACAAAGCATCATAAAGTTTTTGAAGATTTTCCGATCGATTTCCTGTATTTTTCATAAAAGTACATAAAAATCAAATATGAAAAACCCGTTGTAAATTCTTGAGTCCAGATTTTGATTTGTTGTATCTAATCAACAAACAAAACTGGACTCGCAACTATGATTACATTTCTGATTCTAATATACTACTTGAAATGAGATTTTCAAACTTTCCAGGCAATCCATAATAATAAATCTCAATTTCAAAAACTTTTAACTGTTTTTGAGAATAATGTTTAAAAGAAATAAACAAAAAAAAATTTTAAAATTACATTGTATGAACTATGAGAAAACGGAAAAACGGAATGAAAAACGGCCGTTTTCCGTTTTCAATTTTTGTGCCGTTAACGGCCGTTTTCCGTTTTTCGTTAACGGCTTCAGAAACCCTACTCAGCACTTTTTCGAGCTCTTGACCCTTGAGGGAATTTTTGGGGGATTTAAGAGACTAGTTTTAATATTCGTATGTACCAGATGACTCGACCTCATGCCATGAATATTGAGAATTAAGTTAATATTATCAAAACTGTGGAAAATTATTAGGAATTCAGCTCCTAGTGGGAATCGAACCTGTTGTCTTAGAAATTAAATCCGCATCCTGACAAAGTTGGTAGGAATCGAACTTAAATCCTCACAATCATCATAAGAGTCTAACTCAAATCCTCAAAAACATTGTGGGAATCGAAATCACATCCTCGTATACGTTTGGGTTAAAAATTCCTCCCTCCTGCCTAACCATTCAGCCACAGCGGCTTTACTCTTGCTTTTACAGATTCGTCTACATACTTATCGACGATATCAGTCATAAAACAGCTTTAACATTTCAAGATAATTCAAGATTTTGATAATAATGAGTTCTGCAAAGCTCCAATCTGCTTATTTGGTCTTCATTTAATTCAGTTCTATTTCCAACTTCAAACCTTATTCTATTTTTAAAACATAATCTGTTGCTGAAAATCTCACAAATCCCATCACAAGGACACAAAAACTTCTCGTATTCTCATTTCAACCATTTTTTATCATCAAACATTTATTTGAATTTAAGATGAACATGCACATCCTATTTGATCAACAGAAAAAGCAGTAGTGGAAAAATGTGAGAAACGTTAAGTACCATGACTGAACTATTTTCTTGCATTTGCTTTAAAAATCAATGAATTTATTCATAGACTTCGATGCATTCAGTCGGATTGTGATTGTACATGCATGAATGTAAATATACATGGAGAATCCTTATTTATTTGAGAGATGGGAAATGATATTACATCACTAGCTTGTAAGTTGTGAGTTACTTGTAAGTAAATTTACTTAGGAGAGATGTGAGACTTTGGTGCTGTAGATTATGTGGAAAAGAGAGTAATAGGAGACACCTAAGAAGATGTAAATTTTCTTAAAATTCAAACTGAAGGAAATTTAAGTTTAGCTTGATTGGAAGAAGTTATTTGACTCTGCTGCACCTCAATCATATGATATTGACAAAATATTCTAGATTTGTGTTTCTCTCACGCCGCATTTTGAAATGCATGCACTGAAAATCCTTCCTTCATAAGATTAACACTGCTGGAACTACTAATTTTTAACTGCCATGATTTTACTTAATAGAAAGCACTAAACCACTCGAATTACCATCAACTTCTAATATTTTGATTTAATAATTAAAATTTGATTAAATTCATGGTTTGGTGGTTTTTAATGCAGAATTGATAATTGATTGAAACCCAAATATTTTGTTAATTTCCTTCAATAAATCACTTTATGCTATTTACGAATATATCTTGTAGCTTCGAATCCAAGATATCAAATGTATTCAATTAACATCTAATATCCATTTTGAAAATGAAATCACTCGCAACATTTCATCGCAAATGCAATTTTCTTTTGATTTCAATCGTCAAATCTCATTAATCTAATATAATCAGCAACATCTAACAGTTCATAGCAACATAAACATTCCAATTAGTGAAATTAATCAAACTACAAAGGAAGTGCACTTTACCTTAATTTAATCACCATTTGCTTTTATCAAATAAGCAAGTATATTACATCAAATTACATCCATTCACATCCACATACCCGTGAATATTATAGTTCTATTTCTCTTTTCAATATTTTTCTTTACTTACTCTATTTCAAAGATTTTTCATCCTCATCTCATGTTTGGAATATAATCAACAATAATCATATTCAGGATATAAATATATTTTGCAGATGTTTGCAATTCTTTTTTTTTATTCTTAGAGAGCTTTTCTCTTTGCTTTTTGAGAGCATTTGTGGACGAATATTAAGTTTTGGGTAAAAGTTTTGACTGGATGTCTCAATTTGTTGTTCTTATAAAATTGTGTCATTTTTTAGACTTAAAAAAAAATTAAAAAGCTTAGAGAAAGTTAAAGGCATTAAGAAAGTTCAAAAAGCTTTCAAAAAGTTCAAAAAGCTTCCAAAAAGTTTAAAAGCATCCAAAAAGTTCAAAAGCTTAAAAATAAATAAGCTTTAAGAAAGTTTAACAGACTTTAAAAGTTTAAAAAACTTCCAGGATGTTTAAAATTTAAAAAAGCTCACAGAACTTCAAAAAGCTTAAAAATTTCAAAAAGCTTCAAAAAAAAAAAAATCTAAAAGCTGCTGAAACATGCAAAAAGCTCTCAAAATTTCAAAAAAATCAAAAAAAAAGCTTCAAAATATTGCAAAAGTTTTAACAGAGCTTTTAAGCTTTTTTTTTTAAAAAGCTCAATCCACAAAACATGCACTCTATTGCTTTTAAAACCATCGATTTTCAAACATTTTTCGCTTAGTATCATAAACTATCAACGAAAGAATGTGTAGAACGTACATACATACCGAGAAGTAGAAGTGTGGAAGCAATAGACTATACTTTATGTCTCATATCTATAATATATTTGTGAGTGTTGATATATGGGAAAATATCAAATATTCTCATCGTATCACACAATATTCTCATTTGAAATAATACTTCATCCATATGTACATACATTTATACTGTCTTTTCATCACCCCGTAATCTCCTTTCATTTCTTCTTTTATGCGAACGTTCGTCTTTCTTATATAGATGTTCATGTTTACGTAAGTAAATTGTGCATACATATATGGAGATTTTTATGTTATGAAAAAATATTGTTCACAATAAATTCTTTTCACTTCTTCTTTTTTCTCTCTTCCTTTGCCTTTTTATATCTGCTGGAAAAATTGACTACATTTTTAGGGTAATGTTCGTGATTGCTCTTTTAGTGGAACCAGTTTGTCTCTCTGTGGTGTTTAAAAGAGACATGATAAGGAAGTATAGATTAGCTAGTCTTAATAAAAAAAAAACTTTAGCATTCAGACCTTAAGATCCATAGCTGCGCGTAATAAGCTTTCCAAGGCTAATAATAGTTTAACAAGAGAGGATTCACCAGACTTCCCGCTCAAACCTTGACCTACAGTTTAAAGTGGGATCCGAACCACTCCTCTGAAGACATTTCTACCTGTAGCCTACAAAGGAAGGCTGTGGGCTTCATTTCCAGTACATATAATTCGAAAAAGGACATCTTAAATATTCCGTAAATCAAACAATGAGGTTTTTAAACAACAGCCCCCCCCCCCCCCCCATTCCTTAAGACTCCCAGAAGGAAGAAGAGGGGATTGCGACAAAACAGTAGCATGAATAACGCCCTTAAATGGAATCGCCTAAGCTGCGCTATAGACATCTACACCAACATTCTATCAACATTCCCACTTACCTGCATGTAACAGCATCCATTTGTAAAGTAAATTTAATCATAAAGAAATAATCGAAAGCTTAATTATGTGGAACAGAAAACAGTCGTGATTTTCCATCCACGAAAAAAAAAATACCTTTAAAAAAAGTAAGTCACAAGAGCTGAATATGAAATTGAGGTAAGTAAGCAGCCAGAACAAGAAATTTATTCGTCTGATGTCGCTAATAATTTATAAATTTTTATTATCATTAAATTTTTTTATCAGTTCATAGCCAAAAAAGAATTGTGCATAACAAAAAAATGGCAGTGAGGAGAAAATATTTTGGTAAGTATCGCGTGGGATGAGATGTAGAAGTCATCATGGTTCGTTGTTCAATTAACGAGTCTTCTGAAGACGCGACATATTCGATTTGCCAAACGCTTGTCGACGTTCTTGTGCTTTTGTTGTTGCTGCATTTCCAATTGTTTCATGATTTTTATCCACGAGAATCAATGGCGATGGTTTAATTTTGGCATCCTCACGTTTAAACATCTCATCCTTTTTTATCCGTTCAGTGGAATACGTCAGAGACGATAAATCATAAGTTGCAGTTGAATTTCGCTTCAGCATTGCTGCTAACATTCTCGATTTACGTGATTTATTCTTCTCTTTAATTTCCTCTTGCACTGGAGGTTCCTGTCCCAGTGAGATCTTACTAACACCATGGCCAATATCTTTTTTATCAATTGGAATTGGATCAACAGAGAATCTAAAATGTCCAAAACTTAGCACATCCGACATACGTCTTAATTCTTCTGCACTTCGACGATGCACTTCCCTTACTTCATTTATTGTCTTATCACATGACTCAATCGTCTCACGTGCCTTCAATAAAATTTCACTAACTTCCTTTCTGTCCATCTCTATTGCTCGTGCTGCACTGAAAAACTTATCAAATTAGAAATTGGAAATAAAAAAAAATATTTGTCGATGTCACAAAAAATAAAATTGAACACAGAAATAAAAAAAAAATTTAATCATAGCGATGCTATGTATTTGATGTCAGCAAATTGAAACCAATTTTGCATCTACAAAAAAAAATTTAATTTAAAAACATTTTTTATACTTCACTTATATGGTGGCAATAGAAGGACCCCATATGTATATCATGGATATGAGTACGAATAAAAGGTAAAAATTGAAAAATGAGGAAATTTTATTTTAGTTCTATTCTGTTCGATATGTTTTGATATCAACTACATCTCACACCATTTGGTTTTATACTAATGCTCCTATTTTATTTGAAGCTCGACTGATTGGAAGAATATTCATTTTTGATGGCTGGCTGAAGTTTGCATGTGAAATCGAAACTTTTTAAAATGTTTTTTTTTCTTGGTATTTTTCTTCGAGTGGGGTTGAGCTGATTTTCAGTGTTTTTCTAGGGGTGACTACACTTAAGGTTATGAAATTCTAGTTCTCCTTTTTAACGTTATTAGCAGATGAAATTACACGAACTTATCATGATCCAAAATTTTAAGAAAAAAAAAACTCAATCTATAAATTATAAAATGAAACTCCTACCCCCTTACAAAATTCAGGATATGTTGCTATTACATTTGCCACATTAAACAATCCAGTGGTGTCCAACTTTTTTTGTGCCACGTCACACTTGGTGATAAGTCATGAACAGAACCGCACACAGCATACGGTTTGAAGGATATTTAAAAATTTTCACGGTACCTTTGTATATTGCAGCACACGGGTTGGCCATCACTGATACAATCTTATATTCTTCTATAACAGTGAAAGGCAACCTTTTTTATTAAACGGCTGATTTAAAGCCATCTCCAAAACTCCAATTAGCTTAGGAATCGTTCACTTATGACGTCCAATATTAACGGTAATTTTTCAAAAAAAAAAGAACAATAGAATTCCAGGAATTTAAATTGTTATTTTCTTGCTGAACCCCCCCCCCTCTCTGGACGGCATAAGTGAACGGCGGTTAAATAGTGTAACGCGGCACAGGGGTTGACGATTGCTGAATAAAGCCATCATTCAATCCCCAAAATTTTACATTCATTTGAACTGTTGACTTAAGAGCCCACTCAAGAAGCCAATGTCTTGACAAAACAAAAATGATTTTGATAGACTTTTCGCAAGATTGACTCTATTATTGAGTAGGAGTAATATAAAAACATTAGAACGCCTTCTAGAAAGTATTTGAATTGGATATAGTCACGTAATACTCATGTGTGCTTTGTGTAAACAGTTTTACTTAATGTGAGCTAGGCATTAATAATTCAAATGGTTGAATGACTTAATATGGACTTATAGAGTCATAAATTTAAAAAGAAGATCCCTGCGAGCGATTGATTGGGATATAAACCGAAATTTTCTGGGGAAGTGGGTTCGACTCCCACCAGAAAGGGGCCGTTTACTTATGACTTGGGGAGCTCAGCAAGAAAAGAACAATAAAAATTCCTGGAAATCCACTATTCTTTTTTGAGAAATGACCGTTAATTTCGGACGTCATAAATGAACGATCCCAAATTAAGATCTCATTCATTTTAAAGTGGACTGGCATTATGAACACATTAGTCGGTTTCAGATTCATCGGGTAGACTTAGCAACCAACTTTAGATTTAAATCAACTCTCACAACATTAATAACTTCACTTCCAGCCAAAACAATCCCTTAGTCACCTCACCTTGAAACAGTAAATAAAACAATTTCGTTACTAACCAATTTAAATTTTTTTCAATTTAAACTTCACATAAACTATAAAGTCAAAAGTGCGCTGAATCTCCTCACACCTTTATCCAGTTTACACTTCCACTCTAGTTTTCCCTTTTTTTAGTTTTAATTCAAAACTACAAAATTGTAATTGATTAAATTCCATTTTCCATTTTGACTATTGCTATGCCTACACTATGTATGTTATAGAACATAGAACATAACATTTGAAGGATTGAGAATTGATTGCAAAAATTCCATTGAACTCTATGCATATGTGGAATTTTTTTATTTTTTTTTTCCTCAATATATAGATTATTGGACATAAAATATTTTTCATTGGTTTCTTTTTTGAACCTTTAGGTTGATTTTGTAAGGAAGTAAAGAAATAGATTGGGTTTTTTGGACTAGGTTGTTTTTGGGTATCTAGTGAAGTGAATTTCAAACTATGTGTCGCAAAAAAGATATAGTGTTTACAGCAGTGTTGTCTATATCAGCACACCAGTGTGCTATGGCACACAGTTAAGACAACACTGGTTTACATTATTGAAGCTGCTTGAAGGAATCTAGGGCCAGTAACTGAGCTCATTAATGAGCGAAATGTCTCTAGTAGAACGACTTGGGTAGATGCCTATGATTGTCGTTAAAACTATCCCAGATGTAAAATCATTAGAAAGTAGCTTAAATGTATTCAACCCCAATGTAACATAGTGCCTTAGTAAAAGGCTAGACTCTAAAGATTAGTACAACAGAATAATGAACATGATTCACTTTTGTCAAGTTCGATTCTTTATAAATTCTAAAACAAGCCTAATGACATAGCTAGTTGGTCTGTGAAGTAGTTTTAAGTAAATAGGATTTGAACCCACTTTTTTAATTAAATGAAAAAGATTCATGTCACATGATCTTCCTTAGTTTTGTCTCATTTCAGCTATTTTTCGTACATAAATCAGTTGTTTCCTTTAGAACAAAGACGTCTATATGTTGTTCCCATCATGTCTTCCTATTATTCCTAAAACTTTCTAAAATCCACTTTCTCTAAGCTCAATTTTTCAAAAAAAAAAAAAAAGAAAATTTCCTCAAAATTGAGGTCATAAAAATGCATTTCAAGTCATTCAAACTAAACGAAAAATCTATGAAAATTGATTTCAAGGACTACCGCTCGTTCTGGATAAGTGGATAGATATTCATAAAACATGAAATTGAAACAAGACCGAATAAAAATTTATTCATTATATTTCACACTCGATTTTTGCCTTATGCACATTTTGCCACTTCACATTTTATCATCATCGATTGGCTGAACTCGTTTTTTTCTGCTTCCCTTCCTCTCATGTTTTTTTGTTCTCTGTGTAAGAACCAATTTTCATCATAGTTCAATATGCAATGTTAAAAAGTACTTGATGAAAAAAATATACTCGACATGGATGATGAAAATAAAAAATAAAAATTCATGAACATTTTTCATATTGAAAATATTGAAAATGAAATTTATTTTTCATTTTGTTATTATTAAGTTGATATGCACACAGATCTACAAAAATGTGTATGACATCAATATGTAATAATTTGGTTTAACATGGAATTTAATTTGTTCAGTTTATTATTATTTTTTAACTGGTTGCAACAAAAGAATTGGAAAGATTCCGGAGCATCTGGCAGACTCGAGAATTCTGCAGAATTCTGGAACACAGTTGTGCAGAATAATTCTGCAGAATTCTCTAGAATTCTGGAGAATTATTTATCAGAATTCTGGAGAATTTTTTGAAAAATGTCACGCGACACATTCGCAACATAATTTCAGAAAACAGAATTTTTTAACAGAGTTCTGGAGAATTCTGGACAAATAATTCTGGAGAATTCTGGACAAATAATTCTGGAGAATTCTGTAATAGTTTTTATATAAATTGTCAAAAACACCCTATACTATTTAGCATTAGCTATTTAGCTACAACTGTAGATAACAGATGAACTTACTTCGTTACGTAAAAATCAAATTAAAGCTGTAATTAACAGATGGTGTTTATAGCTTAGCTGCTGAGCAGTACTTACAGTTGATGTAATTTTACGTGAATTCCGCTGGTTTTGACTATGACATTTCCTTTTACAAAAAAATTGAATAGAAAACAAGGTACAGTAGCGTGCAAAAGTTTGAAAATGATTGGTAATTAATAACTTTAAATGCTTTCTAGCACGAATTCAATGAATCGTTATGTATAAACATAAAATTAGCATTATATTTTTTATTTGAATGAAGCATTCAGTTTTTGGTTCTATTCCGAATGACACAAGTCGGTAAATTAATCAGAAATCCAGCATCAACCTGGTGTGACTTTGGCATGGTGCTAGATTTAAATCGAAGCCATTCGTAAGTATTTCCTAGGTTGTTTACTATCATTGTTTATGTTTTTGTTTCCAGTTTTTATTCTTGTATAATTTTGTTTATGTTTTTGTTTCCAGTTTTTATTCTTGTATTATTTTATTTATATTTTAAATGTTAACATCCAGAGTGAAAAATTTGATTTTTATAAAACTGTAAACTCAACTGTAAGTACTGCTCAGCAGCTAAGCTATAAACACCATCTGTAAATTACAGCTTTAATTTGATTTTTACGTAACGAAGGAAGTTCATCTGTAATCTACAGTTGTAGCTAAATAGCTAATGCTAAATAGTATAGGGTGTTTTTGACAATTTATATAAAAACTATTACAGAATTCTCCAGAATTATTTGTCCATAATTCTACAGAATTCTGTTAAAAAATTCTGTTTTCTGAAATCATGTTGCGAATGTGTCGCGTGACATTTTTCAAAAAATTCTCCAGAATTCTGATAAATAATCCTCCAGAATTCTGGAGAATTCTGCAGAATTATTCTGCACAACTGTGTTCCAGAATTCTGCAGAATTCTCGAGTCTGCCAGATGCACTTCACCCATTGGAAATATTTGAATCAACTGATGAAGTTTGATTCCCAATTTATTAACACAGCTTAAAATATGGTGCATGGGAAGTGAAAATTAATGCCTTAATATTGACACAGGTTCTCAGCGAATGAATAAATGAGTGATAATATTATTGAGCATCTGATGCTGCATTTTATTAATATTCATGGCTAGTGAATATGTGCAAAAAAATGAATATGGTCAATAACAAGCATCAGATTGTGAAATTTTATATATTGATATTGATTATCTCTTATGAAACTCTCTGATGAATTATGTCTTCTCTAGGCTTACTGCTGGATCTGAAGATTCCAAAGGGTCGTTCAAAAATTATGTCTATCAAAATATTTGGTTTTTAAAGCTACCCCCCCCCCCCACCCCTCGCGCTAAGTTCAATGTAAATTCATAAACTTCAATAATCAATTAAAACAGGCGCAAATTCAGAAGGAGATTTAGGGGACGAATCATCTTACGTTAACAGTAATTTCTTGGTTTTGCAAGGGTTTTTATGAAAAAATCCTAACCAACCCCCTCCCCCCTCTCATAAAATTTCCATTGATCAAAACCAAAAATGTTTTAAATT